AAGCAGCAGCCTGCCTATGTTTGGCTGTCGGCATGGCACACACAGTTCAGGGACCTGGAAGTGAGTGTTCTGCTTACTGTCTTGGTTACCTGGGTGTCATCTAATAATAAATGTTAGCTCCACATCTATGTGTATGCTCTATATGATGTTTCTAATAAAAGTTTCGTTTTGTTTAAGACAAAAACTGCAAGCGCTGTATTAAAGAAGTGGGAGTTAAAGCAGTGTTTCCATGTCCTGCTTTTTCTTGCTTTCTTTATATGTGGTTAATAGGTTTTGTAACAGTGGCCAGTCCAGTTATCCAACCTGTAGGCAGTGGAAGCTGAAAACTGGTCACACATGAGGGGGCAAGGCCAGGCCAGGCCAAGAACAAAGAGCACCTGAAGCAATCAAACTGTCTCTGTCCAAAGAAACACCTTGCCTGAGTCTTGCCCAGACATTAGTTGCCAGGCAACTCTGTGTCGCATGAATCTAACTTTGTAAAATGTATAAATGCCTCTATGGTGGTTGGGCAGTTCCTTTCTTCCCATCTGGAGAGGACTCCATGTCTCCAAAAGCTTTTTGTCTTTTATCTTTATTTCTTAATTTTCTTGATTTTTTTTTTTACCCTGGGAACAATAAGAACTGCATGGAACACAGCACGAGCTACTCAGGAAGCTGAGGCTGAGGCAGTAGGACTACTTGACAACCCCTCCCACTCCCCACCCAGTTCAAGACCCCATCTCTTAAAGGTTCTTTTAGTGTAAAAAAACAAAACAAAACAAAACAAAAAACTCATCAACATTCAGAAATGAACATTTTTGTTTATCTCCCACTTACATGAAGCCTCTCTGCACTTCTCACACCTCAGGGTTCCAATCATATTGGTATCTTCTTCCCAAATCCTTCTGTGCTGCCTCCTAGATAGTGTACCAGTTTTGGTGATGTACGGATTGAATGACAACACTGGCCTTATGGTCCAAGATTACATTTTACAGCATCTATTCCCTATACACTCATCAGGCCTTACAATGTACTTACCTAAGCATATACATTCCTCCTTTTTTTCTCAACAGGAGCACATTCTAAAGCTCACTGAACCTCAGACCTTTGCTTCTGAACCAATTATAAAAGTAACACAGTTTTTCATAAATACATATATTTAGGCTCCACAGATATGTCTCAGAATCTTTAAGGGTGGGGGCATGGCCATGTTTATTTTTAAAGAGCCTCACCAGCAATTCCAGCACCAATAAAAGGCAAAGAGGTCTTTCAGAGAGATTCCCACTTAATCTATGGTTTCAGTTTTTACTCAAGATTCTCACCTGAATTTTTTCCTAAGGTGTGTTCCAGCACCTGTTGCTACACACCTTGACTCGGAATTACCATCTTCTACCCATACCAAGCAAATCTCAATCTAATTTGTTTTTCCTCCAAAGTTGGCCATCTTCCTTTTATAATTTTACTCTTCCTAGCCAAATTAACAATACTCAAAATACCAGCTTAAGAGAAATCATTTTGTTTTCATTGCAAAACTACTCTTTTTTTTTTTTTTTTCACTTGTGTATTTGGTACAGGGTCTCACTACCCAAATCAGACTTGTGGTGATCCTCCTGTTTTCAGCCTCCCCAGTGCTGGGATTACAGGTGAACACCACTCCCTATGCTTGCCAAAGCAGGCGTTTTGTCTGCTGAGTTATGTCGCCACCCCAAAACTAGTAATCTCTAACACGAGTTATAGACACATTTTACTCGACCAGGTCATAAATTTCTTGGTAGCTACTATTTCTTGGTAGCTATTTGTTTATTAGACTAAATGACTGAGTACTATATATCACTTAAGTTTTTGTATTATAAGAAAGTCTTAACAAGACTTAAATAAGGTAGGGCTCAGGAGATGGCTCAGTAGGATAAGCGCTTGACTGCCAAACTCAAGGATCTGAGTTCAATCCCCGGTTCCTT